CGTATGTGTGGCTATGTGTGGGGATGCTACTGTTTTAATTGTGATGGAGAATTCGAAACTGCCCGCGATCCGCCTGTGTGCTTATTAGTATGTTTCTGCATTTTGTGCGCAGCTGCTCATGTTGTTTTGCCGTGCAAAGTCTGTGCTCGTTGCGTCCCCTGCTAGCTGATTAACAGCGTGTGTGTGTGTATTTCCCCGCCCACCTTCCGCCCGATCCCCCCGCCGGTCTGAGCGAGCCTGGGCGAGGACTTACGTCAGCGTCTCGCCGTCGGCCGCCTCGCCGTCGGCCGCCTCGCCGTCGGCCGCCTCGCCGTCGGCCGCTTCGCCGTCGGCCGCTTTGCCGTCGGCCGCCTCGCCGTCGGCCATCTCGCCGTCGGCCGTCTCGCCGTCGGCCGCCTCGCCGTCGGCCGCCTCGCCGTCTCGTGCTGTCGCCTTCTCACCGTAGCCTTCTCGTCACCTTCTCGCCGTCGCCGTCACATCTGGCATTACAGCCTTTGTGCTGTTCTTGCGGTGCATTTCCCTCACCTGCCGCCGCTGCGGCTTTTCACCTCTGGCGCTGCTGTCACCGCGGCCTTTTTCCTTTCCTCTCATCGTTACAGCAAATTGCTGTTCTTGCGGTGCATTTCCCTCACCTGCCGCTGCTGCGGCTTTTCACCTCTGGCGTTGCTGCCACCGCGGCCTTTTTCCTTTCCTCTCATCGTTACAGCAAATTGCTGTTCTTGCGGTGCATTTCCCTCACCTGCCGCTGCTGCGGCTTTTCACCTCTGGCGTTGCTGCCACCGCGGCCTTTTTCCTTTCCTCTCATCGTTACAGCAAATTGCTGTTCTTGCGGTGCATTTCCCTCCCCTGCCGCTGCTGCGGCTTTTCACCTCTGGCGTTGCTGCCACCGCGGCCTTTTTCCTTTCCTCTCATCGTTACAGCAAATTGCTGTTCTTGCGGTGCATTTCCCTCACCTGCCGCTGCTGCGGCTTTTCACCTCTGGCGTTGCTGCCACCGCGGCCTTTTTCCTTTCCTCTCATCGTTACAGCAAATTGCTGTTCTTGCGGTGCATTTCCCTCACCTGCCGCTGCTGCGGCTTTTCACCTCTGGCGTTGCTGCCACCGCGGCCTTTTTCCTTTCCTCTCATCGTTACAGCAAATTGCTGTTCTTGCGGTGCATTACCTTTCCCTGCCGCCGCTGCGGCTTTTCACCTCTGGCGTTGCTGCCACCGCGGCCTTTTTCACCCTTCCGCTTTCAAACCTACCATGCACAAAAGAAAGATGAAAAGGGAGACATCCTTGCTCAAACCACGACATTCGTTGCAAACGGAAGGACTAGTTCAAAGCAGGAAAATAAGGGAGTCCAAAGATATGGAGGATCGGGTCGAGAGATATGGTTGTCATGGTGGAAGTTGTCCGTTGGAGATATGTTTGGTTGGAAGAGGTTGGCAGATGTTGATCCAGTTGGTGGACAGTTGGTGGACAGTTGGTGGTGACCGGCCGGTTTTATTGTCGTCGCTGGGTTTTGTGGATGGTAGCTAGCGTTATCTAACCAGCCAGCAGCTGCAGCCAGTTATATTGCCTAAATGGGCTACGCTACGCAGCTATCAGCCAGCAGCCAACAACCAGCATCAGCGAGTGTGCGCGTGTCGCGGCTGTTGCCGCGCGTGTACAGTCTGTCGTGTTTTCGTTTGTGGTGCCCACAGCCCTGGTTGTGCACAATTGATTTTCATTTGTTTGGGGATTACCTAATTAAGGGGAGGCTAGTAGCCTCAGGCTACACCTTATTAAATAATAGATGAATAAATAAAGCTGAACCATGATATCTATTTCCGCTTTATTTATTTACTTATTTATTTACTCTGTTTTAAATATGTTATTATAGATTAGTAATGCGCCTCAGCCTAATAAGCTAAGGCGTGCATTAGGGTGCCGGGGTTGTAGAGGTTATGGGTTTTCCCAGGCCTTTGCACTTCCTGTCACCGTATTTTTACTTTTTTCATTATGTAGTCAGCAGCAGCAGCAGCAGCAGCAGCAGCAGCAGCCGGCAGATCAGCAAGCAGCTGCAGCAGTGGCCATGGCCCGGGCCCTTTATCGCCAGGGTTTGCGGCAGCTTCCCTGGTGCCAGGACCCGAATGCAGGGTCGACTGGCTGCCGGGACTCGGGGCGTACGAGTCGTCCGGCCTGCCGGCACCCGCACGCAGGGGCCGGCCGTACTTTTATAACGCCCGTCTCAGGTGGGTGGATGGGTGGGTGGGCGACGTGGGTGAGGGTGTGGTGCGTACTTCGTGATTTGGGTTCAACTAGTGGTCGTGGAAAAAGGCCGCAGGGCCGCAGCGCACGTGTCGCAACGAGGCCTTGTGACTTTTGGGCAAAATAATGACATTTGGTGTTTTACCCCCCTCCCCCCCGTGTATGCTGCCCCCTTACCTATCCCCTCTGGCCGTTTCCCCCTTCATCACGCACCTCCTCTTCAGGTGCGGCTGGGGCATCAACCTGTGCGCCCCAGTGGCACCGAGCGGGCGTTGCTGATGATGGGCCCGGCTGAGGTGGGTGCGGATGGGCTTGGGGTTTTGGTGCATGGGGTGTGCGTGGTGGGGACCAGCAGCGGTACCCTTGCTTGCAACTGTCACCTAATTATGTGTGTGTTAGTTGTGTCGTACTGCTAACCGTATTTTGGCCTCCCGCGCCCTTCCCCCGCCTTGTCCCTTTTCCTTCAGGTGCACTGCTGGGTGCAATTCCTCCGCACCCAGCTGCACCCAGCCGGGCGCCGCCGCTGCTGGCCAGTTGGCTAGCGGCGGCGGCAACGTTGGCGGCGGCATATAGACGCATCATCATCATGATCATCATCACCATCATCGTCATCATCATCATCAT